TAGAAATAAGTAATCTGTCCTTTATGCTGACCGTACTCGATAGGATTCTGTGGAGGCAAGACCGCAATCTTAATGAAATCGAAATTTTGAACCGACGCTGACTAGATCTCGAACAGTCATGTCCGTATTCTCGTCGATGCGTTACTGTCTAGGAGACCCACATAATCATGGTGCTATCTGGGCCGCTCTTGGATTCATGCCCTTTGGTTTGTTCTTTGATTTTATGGATGGCAAAATCGCGAGATGGAGGAAAAAGTCGTCCCTCATGGGACAGGAGCTTGATTCTCTGGCGGACTTGGTATGGCAACTTCGCACTGAAGGGCAGCGAGACGCAGCTGACCCTTATCTTCCCACTCTAGATATCCTTCGGCGTCGCACCGGCCGCATGCGCATTCGCTCTTGGAGCCCGCACCGTCGTCGACCATCTTCTGTTAGCGTTCTTCGTCCTTTGTGGCTTGACACGGTTGGCCCGATTCAACGTTACCGTCGCCGTCCTTCCCAAGGATAAGACCGGCAAGTCCAAGTTTTTTGAAGGCACACCGATCCCGACGACATTGGCCATCGCTTCGCTCATGGCCTACTGGGTATCTCAGGGTTGGATTCTCGAGGATCTTCCTCTTGGACTCGCCGCCCAGGGCACTCCATTTGAGTTTCACCCCGTCGTTCTGCTGTTTGTCTTGCACGGCTGCTTGATGGTCAGCAAATCGATAAAGATTCCCAAGCCCTAGAGGCGATGATAATCTGTACAGACGAGTTCAGGCTTGACTGCTCAAGATTTAATTACCGTGATAGAGAGATCTGTCTACGAACATATATACAGGAGAGGACATGAAGCTTTGTTGAATACAATTTTGAAAAGTTTGCACTTGATTGCGAATGTGATTTTTATACATTTGATGCCTTCTATGCGCCGCTTAAGCTGTTGTCGAGCTTTACCGAGTACGTCTGGTAGAAACCTCAGCTCAGTGCATTGAATGTTTCCCAGCTTTAATCAGCTATTCACTAGGAATTCCCACCTGCCGACTACAATAGATACCCTAGTTGGATACATCCATAATTGAAAAGTCATATTGAACATCTTAAATCGAAAACTTTTAACAATTGAGGGAGACTATAGATGATAATGTATCTAAGCATTTCTTCTTGAGAGATTGAGATGAATGACAATGAGACTCAGTCTCAATGCAGGTTGCTATATATATATCCGCCAGCTGCGATGCGCTACCACCCGCCGCATGATGACTATCTGCAGCTTATCCCATAGCATGCAGTGGAATTCTTAAAGCACAATACTCGCTACGGAGTACATCCAGACTAATCATCCATATGCGTAACAAGGATAGATAGCCCAGCCAGCCCGATTTAAGCCTTGAATCTGTTAACTGACGAGAAATGCAGCACTAACAATGATTCCCATCAATCGCCGCAAACTCCCGTCAAACTTGCAAAGTTGGAAACAAGATTGACGACTAAGTACTCCGTACCCAGGCAAATCTAACCCAGAGGCCCAAATGGGTGAGGTCTGGGATGCCGATTTCGACTTGTCGAGCAGTGAGGCAACGGCAGCTTACTTCCAATCCTGCGGCCCGATTCTGCGTAACTCGAAGGAGTTCTAGACGGTCGTAACTCGTAAGGACAGTGGACTCGATAGACCATTGTATTAGGACAAATTTGGAGCCTGACTGTTGTGCTGTGGGTCAATTGACAGGTTCTAGACCTGCCTGAGGGCTTTACAAATTACAACTCCGTTGGGACAAATCGACATACAGCTTCCGGTCGTTCCGTTTAGGAACTTCGGCCAGCGGTCCTCGAGAGTTCGAAATGCTGATGTATCTTCAAGATAGTTCATGGAAGCCAATGTGCTTGGGGCTATAGGACATGGTAGACCTTTGTCGTAGTGATCCTTGTCCTGGGCTCCCGGTGATAGCGTCGTTAGCACCGAGATTGGTGTCAAGAAGAACAGCACGCGACCAGGGCCTAGATTCGATTCTCGCAAAGTGAGCATTGATCTATTTCTGTTAGTCCGAGTCGGTAGTCCTGGGGAAGCATTCGTACTCTGCAAGGATTCATTGATTTGAGGCTCTGACAGAAATACAGATAGGACGTTGCTATCTCTTGACTTCGAACCCAGCCTATATTTGCACCTACTAACTGAGTTGCTCTAATCGCGTCAAGTTATTGGGTCAAATCTGATTGAACAAGGGAGATTCGCGACAGAAGGAGTATGGGCCTGTGTCCTTGAGCAAGCCACTAGTACTGTCTCAATGTCTCCAGTAAACATTCCTCTCAGTCTGAAACGAATTGATTAAGGTTGATCAGCATCCTTCTGGAATGGATGGCTCTTTCATGACTTCCATGCAAAGGAGGTATTCCTAAGTGTATGTGCCACGTCATTTTCATTGCAAAGGATAGTCACGGTCATTTTGCAGGCTTGCAGAATTCACGAGAATTCAATTGTTTGTGAGAGGATGATGGGTTTGCGAACGTGACTACATAACAGAGTATTCCCAAGGCCCGATCTCTGATAAACATGATCCGAGGGTTTCACTCCGTAAAGTGCTACAAGTGTCAGGATCAGGGACAGTCCGTTGCTGTCATCACTAAAAACCTCGAGTTCGAACTGGTGGCAAATGCGGCTACCTTCCTCGGCCTACGTCCTTCCCACATTCTCAGAAATCTATGAAAACTCTTGGTTGTGTTTGTCTGACTATGCAAGTGGCAAAGCCATGAACTATTATCTTCAACCTGAATCATGCCTGTTGTACAATGAACCGAGTTCATCATCATCGTTCACATGAAAATCAGTCTCTGTCATTGGCGGACCTTCCGAGCCTTGTCGATCACAGGATGAAGGATCGAGGTACGTACTCCGTTATGTGCGTTACATGATACATCAGTAAGGTAGCCAAAGGAGGTGAACCTTACATTTTTTCCACAGGTTCCAGCGATCCGCATTAACCTGCAGAAGCCATGAAGGGGTTCAGACCCACAAAGTCCGGGAGTGGCCGCTTGGGAGCCTTGGAAGTTGGAACTCATGAAAGGATTACCAGCAGGGACAAGAGGAAGAGAATTTTGCACGAGTTCGAAGGTGAAGAGGGAATCTTTGCTATGTTGAAAACCACGTTGGTTGTGATCATTATTAATGTTCTGGAGGAGATGTGAGACATGTTGCTCCGCGTTATCGGAGGGCACGGGATAAGGACTTGCATCATGGGTCTGTGTGTGTGATTCATCAGGGCGCTTGACCGAAAAAGCGATCGACGACGCCCCGTACGAAACTGGGCGTGCTTGTCATTGCATTATGGCTGACAATGGCTTGTCAGAAATAGAGAGTATTCTGGATACTGCAATAATAACAAGAGATAGATAGTTTGTTGATAGCTGTGGGATGAACTTGAAATCCAACTCGAGAAAAGAGTCGATAATGCTATCAGGGGGAGCAGGACACTTTGGAGGCCAGGCAGTCCATTTGCTTTGTTTCATGAGGATAGTTCGACCATGCGACAATGAAAGCCTACCCTGGCTTTGAGGTCAATAGAGAAAGGATGCATGACCTCCTCCAACTCTGGGTGTCCCACGAGATGCAGTTGCAGGAATTTGCCAGTGTATCTGAATATCTGTGTATCCTCTCCTCAACCCCAGTCCACAACTATTCCTTCTCGGTCTTGGAGTTTGATTCCTTTATGATGAGGAAGACCACCTACCTACCTTACACCGGGCCGTGTACCTTACAGTTGCAGGTACACCATCAGCCCCCTCTTTTCATTATTGAGACAGAAAGCAGAGCCACCACAATTCAGCAATACTAATGCACGCCTTTGCCATTTCAGACTTAGTCTGTACCACAATGGCTCCCTTTTCCCAGCCGAGTAGCCCAAGATGGAAACGACCTACTGTGCCCCTGGTCATGACCACCGTAAATGCGTTTATGTAAGCATAGTCCTCCCGATTCATTGGGCAGGATGATGGGTGGAGCCCTTTACGCGGGATGTAAAATTACCGTCAGAGGCGAACCAGGGTCAGGGCCCGTTTGGAAACTGTTCTCCTTAGACACAGAAAATGGCGTACCGTGTATGCTTCCCTGTGGGAGTAGTCGCATTGTTTACCTGTGCCTGAGGTTCATGACACAAATTACTGTACCTTAGGCTAGTCCCTCCTAATAATAATCTGAACCTGGAGATTATTATCGCTTAAGCCCAATTCCTCCACTGCCTCCATTCAATCAGTCCCTCTCACACTACTAGGTACTTCCTATCAGTCAGACTTCCCGTCCTTCTCCAGACCCTTCTCCTACTGCTTGTTCCCTCTTTCCTCCTTGTTCACCCCTTCGATAATAATCCTTTCTTCCGCCAAATTTCCGCTCGTTTCTACCTCGTATGTTCGGAAGGGTTCGACTTCAGTAACCATACTTTTTTGTATTCTCTGTCAACGTCCTTCTTGTTCTTAATTTTCTTCTTCGGCGCCTCCCCTTCTCCGTTCTACCTCAGGGCCAATTTCCTCTTATTGACGTGAAGGAGGTGGTTGCCTAACTGGTCACACCGTAGTGCGATTGACTCTGTTCAGATTGCTCATTTCAGCTTCCCGTCAAAAGGGGGTTGTGAAACAATCGGTCCTCAACTTCTTCCCCGCCAAGGGACCATTTTCTCCAGAAGGATCAACACTCGCTTTTCATCGATATCACCGTCTTCACTTCAACTTTGCCTCAACTAAACCTCTTTCGTCGCTCTACTCTGACATCTGACGTCCGTCGACTCGTCATATCGATTGTCTAAGTTGGGTCCGACCGTCGAGAAATCGTCACGACTGTTTCTGACTGCCGTTGCTACCACTCGACGCTCAGGAAAGGATAAACGAGCAGGAGATTGAAGACAACATCACAAAATAATATCCAAGGGCTACGCGGGTCGTCCCTTGTCTCTCATTTCTCACCAAACCTCATCAGCAGCTTAACGCCTCGACTCTCGCTTTTCAACTATCCAGTCACATATACCAATCTCAAAATGAAGTCATTCACAATCCAATCGGCTCTTACAGCCTCAGCCCTGTTCCTCGCTGCCACCCTTCCAGCAGCCTTCGCCGCCGACATGGTAAGCGAGGGTTGTTTCAGTGACTCCACACCCTTGGTAGACCAAGGTCCCTATACATATCAGAGTAACGGCTACTGTCAGCAACTCTGCTTGAAGAGCAACAGTCTTGTCTTTGCCTTGACGAAGGGATCGAACTGTCTCTGTGGAAATCAGCTGCCGGCGAAGTCGGCTAAGACGTCTGATTCCGATTGTAACGTCAAGTGCGCTGGATGGCCTGATGTCATGTGTACGGTCTTCTCTTTATCTTTTGCTGCTTCCGTTGCCGTGCTGACTTGATAATTTGACAGGTGGTGGCGAAGACGCCTTCTCTGTCTACCTGACTGGCCTCAGTTCCAAGGTCTCGTACTACTCGGATGATTCCTCTTCCAGCACCAACTCAAGCTCGACATCAACGACCAACGGCGGGTCGACTGTGACTACTGGCAGCCACGGTCAAGTCGTCACACAAGGGGAGCAGACTGTAATCGTCACAGCACCAGCCAGTGAGGCGGACTCGACAAATGGAGCCAACAGCCAGCAAAAGAGCTCGAATGGTCCGAATACTGCTGCCATTGCTGCTGGTGTCGTTGTCGGTGTAGTCGGATTCTGTTCCCTTGTTGGAGCCGGATTTTTTCTCTGGCGCTTCAGGAAGCGCACAAACGTACAGCCGCAGTACTCAAATAACGCTGCCAATGAGCACTTTGGCAAGCCCATGTCGCAAGATTCCATGTCGGATTCGAGGTTCGATGGCGACTTCATGGCACAAAGGCGCCAAAGCAATGGTAGCATTGATGATGATCAAGACTTTTCCCGTCGTATCTTACAGGTGAGGGTCTTCAGATCTGCGCTTGGAATATTTAAATAAGCGATGCTGACTCGAAATTACAGGTAACAAACCCTGACCACCGACATTAATTCGACATGAATTGAAACATTCCCTCGCCGCATTGCATCGAGCGCAACATCCAAGTCAACCAAGGCAATTTGAGTCGTCACATTTACTAGGACCCAAACATACTGTAACGATTTCCTCAGCGTTGTTCCTAGCCGATCATCTGGAAGAGATTCCTCCCTAGCACTTCTTTCTCCAGCTCGTTGTCCTCCACGCGTTATACAGAGGCCTATTCTTGGAATACCCGCCTTCTCAATCTCTTCGCTGTCGGTGAAACTCGGAATCCTCAAACCACGACGTCATCCTCATTTTTATTGAAGATGCAAATCAAGGAGCCTTCCGACCAGGTCACACCGTTTGGACAGGATATCTGGACGACAAAAAATCATCCTAATTCAATTATACACGCCTAGAATGTTGCTTCCCGGCAGGGACAATGGTAGGATCATGGGCCTGATATTGTACTTGGAGGTATGTCAGGGAACTTGTATTATTTAAAAGGCGTTTCACTGTTGGCGTGTCGATTCATATTTTCTTCTGTAATCAGCTTATTTTTCCTTGATTTCCCCTCTACCTGAGCTGGACTATCTCCTTCATTTTGATTTCTTTCTGTGATGCCACATTTTGCTTTTCCAAGCCATCACTCAACTTCCTCGTCGTCCTGGATTCTGCCCCCTCCATAAGTGGAAGGGAAGACGGACTGAAGAGGGGAGTTATGAACAGGTCTTGCAGTTAATGTTTGAAATGAATATGGATACCACCTCTAAGCACTCATCTTAAGTCAATACATGAGTTACCCTATAGCACAGTAGCATTTCCAATCCAGTGACTGCACTTACAACGACCTGCTGTCAGGAATCTATTCATTTCAAATCCGCGCAGCTGCGCGTTTGCCATCAAACAAAGTCGAGTCCATGGGATATCTCCAATAGTTGCTTTGTTTTGGCAATTTCTTTCACGAGCTCTACGGAGGAAAATTTTATACTTTACGCGTGCTAATGCAAGTAGTCTTCAATGTACAAAGGAAAGTGGATAGATCAACCCTAACCCTCTCCTTTGTCTTCCACACCTCGTCATTCTTCAATTAATGAGTACATCCCCCGAGACCGACAACTTTCAAGAATTCTCTGAAGGTAGCCTAGCTTTCGGTCGAAGTATTGACATCCACACAATGAATCCCCTCGAGATCCCCTAGATTCTCTCGAATGTGCTCCCCTTCGTCGACTCCAAACATTGCTTGCTGCTGCACGGGTCACCTCCCTCTACTAGGCACATGAGGCTCGCCCTGTCGTACATTGTCCGGAAACTAAGGAGAACAGCGGGTCGGGCGAGGCGCCTCGTCTCCGTGGGTAGATCGGGGATCGAAGGCGTTGCGTGGATTGGCATCCTATTCTCAGGAACGACTATGGTTTGTTCTTGGAGGATATGCCGTCTGTCAAGCATCTCCAATTGCAGAGTGGATGGTAGCAGGCCTTGAGCAAAGATCTCCTCCGACACCTCGTGTTTCGATTGAATCTCGAGAAGCTGTCTCTTGGGCCTACTCTGCCGCTGAACGCAAAGACCTTTGTTCAGGCACGAGGCCAGGACTCGCTTGATGGCGTCTTTCCCGTGCTACTGTTTCTGAGCCTTGAGACCGATGGAAAAGCACTCCGAGTGCTGCTCCTCAACCTGCGTTGTCTTCAGGGGCTTCACGTCACGAAATTGACGCCCATTTCGACCCGTGGCCACACCCACTAACTTATCTAGATGGTATTCTCACCTTGAAGAGATCTTTTTCAGCAGCAAGGGTAAAATATCAGTCTCCACCAAAGAACTAGTACGCATAGCTTCGGATCGACTCAGCTGCGAGGACTAAACAGATGATGTCAAGGAAGCTCTGGCATCGCAATGGGCGCACCTTACTCCTTGGAATACACATGAATCTCTCTACAAGGTCGCTCGTATCCCTCGCTCGAATCTGTACTCCCCTGCGGCGTCTTGCGCTCTTCACCGATATGGAATACTCATCTCGCCGACGCGCCCCTAAATCGTCTTTCCGCGACTCTATGACCTTATATTGGGCCGAATCACGAATTTCTCGTTTGCAAGTGACGGAAGCTCAGTGATACGAGACCTGATTGTGCAGGTTCTCGACGAATGGTTTCCTGTGTTGATGAGGCTTGATTGCCTCCCACAGCTGATGAAATACTCAGTGACCGATGGAGGAGGACGAACTGGGTCATATACGGGACAGGCCATGTCGCTTCGAGTCGTGGCTAGAGGCCGAGGCCGATTGAGCCTTTATTAGGGACAAGTATAATCCGTTCCCTAGCTTTGTTCCCGGGATCGCATACCAAGAGGAGACTCGGGGCTAGATAAGGCTTGACCTCGGTAAACTGGGGGGCGGAAAACCAAGGGCGGGATTCCCCGCCATCACTAAAAGCGCAAAGCTCCCCGACTGGTCGCTACGGATCAAACGGCACATCTCTTGATTGATGTGGAGACTGAGTTGCTGGACTTTGGACTTTGGACTTTGGAGTCACATCGTATCTGGCAGATAATTAAAAAAAATGGGCTCCGCATGCGGAGAAATATCCACAAGAGGGACTCCCATCCCACTACGAGGAGTTATGCGAAACTGCGATCGAGAAGACAGAAAGCGGGCAGAGCTCAAGTTGATATCTCACTGACATTAGACATATCCCAGCTACCAAACTCTGGATGCTCAATTCATCCTCACAGGCGAGATCCTCACAGGCGGATTGTTTTCCGGCAGCAAGTGGGGAGAATCAGTCCTCGAGTAGATCTACACCTGCCTGAATCGGCGCCAGCAGATAACACTCACTTCTTTCTCTTTTTTCTTGTTAGGTATTTCCTTTCACTTCCTTCCCTCTACAGTACTTCATTACACTCAAGGACCCTGGTTTCGCCATATCTATCTTCTTGATGTGAACGTTCTCCACTACTTTCTAGAGATCATGGGGAAGAATCGCTGCTCTCTTGTATATCCATGAGTCTTATCAATTGACATTGCTACCATTGCAGGATTTGCACCCACATCTTCATTGACTGCTCTATAATTCCTTCATCCTTTCTTTTCAGCCTTTCTCTCTTCTCTATTCACGAATTACCTCTTGGATTTCTCCGTATATCCCAAGGCCTCACTGATGCTAGACGGGTTGCATCTTGCGTCATCGATCTTATACTCCCGTCCGTTTTCAGAGGAACAACCATAGCAATTTTTTTTACGACGAACGAATTGCACATACATGAAAAATGGCTTCCTCGGACTTGGAGGAAGGAGTTCACGAAATCCCGTCAGCAGAGACCGCATATACCGATGCTCCACACACAGTCAAAAGATCCGGAGAGGAAGACAAATGTGCCGAAAAAGATGCCCATTCTCTGTTCTCGGGATCGGCCCATTCGGCCATGGAGGTGAAGGGTACGGAGATTGAGATTCCATATGCAGAACATGAAATCTTGCCGATAGCGGTGCCGAGGCTGAAGCGCAGAGGGCTTTTCGGGCAACTTACCCTGCTGGCAGAGGTTGAGAACCCGAAGACGTATCTCCGAAAGACGAAATGGTTTATCACATTCATCGTTGCGCTGGCAGGATCTACGGCTCCCATGGGTAGCTCGATACTATTCCGTAAGTGGCTCCCCGTCCAACTGCTTTTAGTATTGAACCATTGGTGGCCTACTCTCGACCCTCGTTGGTGAAGTACTCTCTTAGTAGCCTTTGCGCTACCCTCGTCGGGGGCCTCGCTACTCTCACACTTTGAGAATCCCTCGCTGACCGAAACGGTCGTTATATCATTCATTAGCACGTGCTAACAGGTTCTCACAATAGCCTCTCTCTCTCAAATATCCAAGGAAATGGGCGCAACAACCACTGTCGTCAACCTGAATATCTCGCTGTACATGCTGAGTATGTCTATATTTCCACTTTGGTGGTCGTCTTTCAGCGAAAGGCTTGGTCGACGAACGATATACCTCGTATCCTTCAGTCTCTTTGTGTTGTTCAACGTTCTGAGTGCCGTATCCCATTCCATAGCGATGCTAATCGTCATGCGCATGTTGAGCGGTGGAGCATCTGCATCTGTTCAAGCTGTTGGCGCAGGGACGATAGCAGATCTGTGGGATCCGCATGAAAGGGGACGCGCAATGAGCATTTTCTATCTGGGCCCACTATGCGGTCCTTTGCTCGCTCCGATCGTGGGGGGTGCTCTGGCAGAGCGTTGGCGATGGAGGAGCACGATGTGGTTCTTGGCCGTCTATGGCGGAGTCATCGTTATATTCATCTTTTTGGCACTTCCTGAAACACTGGCCAATCGAAAGGAACGTGATGAGGATGAACAAGCACCTGTCGAACGACAACTCAGCCGGATATCTTCACGCCAGGTCGTTCACCTCACTGCCAGATGGTTGAGGGTCCTCAAGATGATTTTGCTCGACCCTCTTAAGATCGTTCTTTACTTGCGCTATCCCCCAGTGTTGTTGACTGTATACTACGCGAGTATTACCTTTGGCTCCCTGTACGTGCTGAATGTCAGCGTTGAACATACGTTTGGCACGAGCCCCTACAACTTTAGCACCGTTATTGTTGGATGCCTCTATATCCCGAACTCGGTGGGTTACATCGTTGCCAGTACTTTCTGCGGCCGATGGTTGGATAAAATCATGCAGCGTGAGGCTAGGAAGGCCGGCAGATATGATGAGCACGGCAAATTGATCTATCGCCCAGAGGATCGCATGCGTGAGAATGCCTGGCTGGGCGCATTTCTGTATCCTGCAGCATTGATCTGGTACGGCTGGACTGCTGACAAGGGGGTCTTCTGGTTCGCACCGGTTAGTTGGTCTAGCATTTTTACTGTGAGAGTAAAAGCTAACTTTGTCTCCCAGATGGCTGCCAATTTCTTTTTCGGTGTCGGATCAATGCTGATCTTCAGCATGGCAACGACGATGTTGACGGAATTCATGCCTAAGAAATCATCAGCAGGTGTCGCATTGAACAACTTCATGAGAAATATATTCTCATGCATCGGATCGCTAGTGACAGCCCCCGTTATTGATGCCATAGGTAACGGATGGCTCTTTACGATCCTTGGGCTGGTCGCTTTCGCCAGCAGCTCGGTGATTCTCGCCATGAGAGTATTTGGACCTCGTTGGAGGAAGTCAATGGATGCTTTGAGCCACTAGTCCGGTCTTCATTTGGGTGAAATGCAAGAAGATACCCCAGCAACTTTATTTTTACGAGTCATGTTAGCATAGCATAGAGCAATCATAAAATTTTCCCGCTCTTCTGGTGCCTGCGTAGGTGATCCGAAAGCCCGCAATCCGTATTTTGATTGGTGCAGACACAATACGTCCAGCCCAGGGTAAAGATGGAGGGAGTGATAGACTCTATTATTGCATTCTATCCTTCCCTCTATTGACCTGAAAGAAGATGGTGATGAGCCTAGGGGAAATGCGGACGTGAGGCTATTGCATGGCCTGGTTGACCTTGGTGGCAACTGCTCGGATGATCAAAAGCTTCACCCTATTGTTTAGTCATTTCCTGGCCAATGTAGTGTACTAAGCAGGGAGATTGAGAAAGGATCATGGCATATCATCATGCTGTGCGCCCTGTCATAGTCGTATGGCCATTGGCAGCGCTATCTGTCATGTGATTGCCATATGCTGGAAGAACTGGCAACCGCCAAAATAAGAATACTCAGAGTGTTACAGAGTAGACTCGTCCAATAGTTTGTTTGTGGCCTTTGACCCTCATTGCACGGCCATGACGCGAATCAATAGCCCAAGGAGCAGAAGAGTCTTGAAGTGACCAGTGGACGTGGTCCGTGATGCATCAGGGATCATCTGCAATTATGCAGGTAACCACCACAGGAAGCTTTCTAGATAGATATCTGTCGTTGGTCTAGTTGCATCTGGCTCTGTGATTCGTAGCCCTGCTTCTGGCCATGGATCAATCTGTCGATCTGCGCTGCTTTCTCAATTTCTATCTCGGGTCAATTTATGTTTTTCTGGCAGCATTGAATGGGCTGGGATGCTCTTTTCAGGCTGCTGCTCAGCTGGCATACTCGGGGACAGCTCTGTACCTTATTGTTGTTCTGCTCTCCTTTGCTCGTTGATAATATAATATTAAGAGACAAGACGAACGAAGAGCAGAGCCCTTTCAGTTTCAAGTGGGCCGAACTGATAGTACCTAGTTAGTGCTCCGTAGTTTGGTGGAAATCGACCACTCATCGACTGCCAAAGCAGCAATCGCCATCCACGCCTCATTGTTTAGGTGCAGCAATTAATGAGCAAACCAGTGATTACTGTGACATTATTTCCATATTTGGTGTTTCACAATATAGCATCCTTTAATGTGGTCTCTTGAAAAGACAACAAAATGGAGGTTGGTATCCTGAAACGGTATAGACGGTCGGTCAGGTCCAGTGATCTTCGGGTTGCTGAACTGTCTCGGTGCCGGTGGAGTTGAACGCCTTCGCTATCTCATCTCACCCCAAGACTCGGTTTCATCAAGTATTATGTCCCAGCCATCATCGTCGGTGCGGTAAATCGCAGAAATGAAACAGGATGGTGACCATGATTGACACTCTGCTAACACAACAGTCGATCCTGCACTCCAGTCTGATCCCAGTCATTCTGGCCGGGCCTTCGACGCACCCTCCACACATTATGCACCCTATTCCGGCCGCCGCCCGCAATTTGCGTTGGGCAGGAATCGGTGATTGAGGAGCTTCTCTCAGAGGTTGAACATGATTGTCGTCCTTGTTGTCTGTTCACTGGAGGCTTGCTGTCTATCTTCTAAGATTAGGAAAAAGCTCGATTCCTTCCGCTCTTCTGCTTCATTGTTTGATCTGCTTGGCATCTACGATGTCATTAAGACAATGTCTATCGTCTAGCATAGGAGCTACCCGGTGAAAGCGCTCTCCTCCCAATGATTTACTCTTTTCGTCCACGCGCGTTGGCTTAACCAGGCGAGGCTATTGCGGGTTATGGCCAAAAAAGAGAAAAACAACACATACAATCACGATTTATCGGTGGCACCACCCCACCAACCCTGCGGTACCCAGTTATCCACAACTCCACCACTGGACTGCTTCCCTTTCTCCCTATCGTCAATTCTCTTCCTCGTCCCCGCTGCCTTTGCTGGCTACTGCATGCTCTTCCTGCAGATGGCAATGGTCCTGCTTATTCCCGCCCTAACGATGCTTTCGGGAGGAGTCTCCCAAGCTCTTTTCCTATATTCGTCCAGGGCCATTGGATCCATGAGACGTGGCCCAATCAGAAAACATGCCGTTGGCAGTTCGTGGGTGACGTCCCACGGCCGTCCGGCCTCAACACTCAACTGTAGTTTGACAATATCCCATCCCAATGGGTACAGGCGGACGACTATACGTCGCCTCGCATTGGACCTTGGGCGGAACCACCATGCTGTTGGCGGAAGGACAAGACGTGTGTGCTGCTTGTTCAATTCCAATTTGGTTTCCCTAACACATGAGCGTCTGCCCCAGCTTCGTCTTCCCATGCCTGTTCACGTCTGATCTTCCATTCCGTTCTCTTGCATCTTCCTTTCTTTTTTTATCTGATTGATCATTTCCTACCCCTGAAGAGAGTCTGGTAGGGAAGAGGTACTCTGATCTCGCTCTATATAAATTGATCTATCAACAACTGGGCGGAACCGAGAGTCTTATAGTTTGACGTACTGTTACTGATCCGATGCCATGGCCAAAAAAGGAGCAAAGAACAAAAAGAAGAACAATAACAATAACAAGCAACGCCTGCCAGTGAACGATAATAAATTTTCCCTCCCTGAAGACAACCCTACATCCGAGTCCGGCCTTGAACAGGCCGCCGAGTCTGGGGACCATGGCCAACCTACAGTATGCACAACTTCCCAAGTTTGAATATCAGACATTCGAGCGTCAATATCAGACCTTCGACCGTCAGACTTTGCAATTTTCATATTATCCCGTCACTGCTGCTTCTTCGGATGGTCTGACATCGGATAAGGATCAGGACATCACCAACAACGCGACCAATCCAGAGAAAGGCCCATCCCCAGAGAGCGCTCCAGTAGAAGGATCAAGTAGTTCGCCCGATGACGCTGCGCCTGCACCCGAATCTGAAGGTATGTATGCTTGTCAACTCTCAAGGCATATGAGGCATTCTGAACCTTTGGTGCCACCTTCTTCCTTTATTGGGGTTCACCTTGCTCACATTCGTCTAGAGTCACCTGAAGCGGCAGCCACTTCACCTCAGCCTGAACCGTCAGATGCACCTGCGCCAGAAGCCAAGGAAGGAGAGCCCGCGCCAGAGGCAGACGGTACCGAGCAGAAACCGGAAGACGCAGCCAACCCCGACGAGTCCGAGACGCAAGCGGCCACTGAAGATGCCCCGCAAGACCCAGTGCCGGAGGAAGTTGATGGTGCCGCTGCTGCGGTAGATGAAAGTCCTGCGCCGGAAAGCGGGGAAGGGGACAGCAACGGTATGCTTGCGGATACTGGGAACACACAAAGCCAGCTGACCTCATTCCCAGAGGATGACTTTCCAGAGTGTGACCCGTCCGCGGAGCTCGATAAGGTCGAGGCCGAGAAAGAGGAAGCTGCCCGGCAAGCGGAGGAGGATGCCAAGGCGGAAGAGGAGGCGGCAGCAGCAGTAGCAGCAGGGGTCCCTGATGACGTCGATGTTGATACAGGAAATGTGGACTCACATACGGACAATCCAGACGAAGAAGCTGCTCCCGTACAGAACGACTCGCCAAAGGCCGAATCGGCAGAAGAAGATGTGACGAAGCCCGACACAGAGAATAGTCAGACGCCAGACGGACCTGCTGAAGAACAGACCGACCCACCACCCGAAGAGGAGGAGGTAGTTGACGACTGGGCTGAGGCTGCCGAGGCCGACGACTTAAAAGAGCAGCCCGCCGCTGAAGAACAGGCTCTCACCGAGGAACCTCCTGCTGAGGCGCAACCCGCTGCTGAAGAGCATGCACCTGAACCTCCTTCCGAGGAGGAACCCGCCGCGCCAGCTGAAACTGCGGAGGACAGCACTCCAGAAGAAGCGGCAGCTGCCAAGGATGCAACAGCAGATGACGCTGCAGTTGATACGGCACAAGAAGAGCCCATGTTAGAGGAGCCTAGTGATGTGAAAGCTCCTGAAGAGCCTGAGGTCGAAGAAAACCCGGTCGAGGACAAGCACGAGGAGGTACCCGAAGCTCCCGCACCGGAAGAAGCTGCAACTGAGACACCGGCCGTGGACGAAGCAGTGGTTGAGGATGCTGCCGCCGAAGCGGCTCCAGAAGCACCGCCAAGTGATGAGGTGGCTCCGGAAAGTCCTGCGGAAGCACCAGCGGAGGAAAAGGAAGAAGACACCCCTGAAATACCACCCGAGCAACCTCCCGCTGAAGAAGCTGTTAAAGAGTTGCCGCCTTCTGATGAAGAAGTTGCCGAAGAATCTGGTTCCCCCGAACCTCAGGCCGAAGAGCCTGTCCCTGAAGAATCTCCTGCTGCCGAGGAGCCAACCCCTGCTGCGCCTGAAGCCGAAGAACCTGCGCTACCTGAGGAGTCCCCAGCTGAAGAAACTCCTGTTGCCGAATCAACTACAGCTGAGGACGTGACCCCTGAAGAATCTGCTCCTGTTGAAGAGGCCCCCGCAGAGACACCTGCTGCTGAAGAGCCTACTCCAGATGATGAATCCGCTCCAGTTGAAGAGGCTGCCGCTGAGGAATCGGCTCCTGCCGAAGAACCTGCCCCGGCCGAGAAATCCGTCCCAGCTGAAGAATCCGCTCCTGTTGAGGAGCCTGCCCCTGTTGAAGAACCTGCGGCTGAAGATCCAGCTCCAGCTGATTCAACTGCCCCTGTTGAAGAGGCTCCTGCTGAGGAACCCGCCCTAGTTGAAGAATCTGCGCCGGCTGAAGACCCAGCTCCAGCTGATCCGCCTGCCCCTGTTGAAGAGGCTCCTGTTGAGGAACCTATTCCAGCGGAAGAGCCTGCCCCAGTCAAAGAACCCGCTTCGGCTGAAGAACCCGCCCCGGCTGATCCGTCTGTTCCAGTTGAAGAAGCCCCTCCCGAGGAACCTGCCCCAGTCGAGGATCCTGCCCCCGTTGAAGAGCCTGCTGCCGCTGAGGACATTCCTGTTGAGGAGCCAGCACCTGTGGAAGAACCTGCTGAGGAACCCACGCCAGTCGAAGAATCCGTCCCTGCTGAAGAGTCCGCTCCTGCTGAGGAACCTGCTCCTGTGGAAGAGGCTCCTGCTGAGGAATCTGCCCCGGTTGAAGATCCTGCCCCAGTTGAAGAGCCTGCTGCCGCTGGGGAGATCCCTGCTGAGGAGCCAGCACCTGTGGAAGAACCTGCTGAGCAACCTACGCCTGAAGAATCTGTCCCTGCTGAAGAGCCGGCTCCAGCTGAGGAACCTGTCCCAGTTGAAGATCCTGCCCCCGTTGAAGAGCCTGCTGCCGCCGAGGAACCTGCTCCTGTGGAAGAGGCTCCTGTTGAGGAGTCTGCCCCGGTCGAGGAGCCTGTTCTTGCTGAGGAATCTGCCCCGGTTGAAGAGCCTGCCGCCGCCAAGGAGATTCCTGCTGAGGAGCCAGCACCTGTGGAAGAACCTGCTGAGCAACCCACGCCAGTCGAAGAATCCGTCCCTGCTGAAGAGCCTGCTCCTGTGGACCAAGAAGTCTCCGAAGAGGCTCCAGCCGCAACGCCTATTGAGGAAACCTCCAGAGATATTGATGGCTTGGAGCCCTTGAAAGCAGCCTTGCCAGCTATTGTTCCAGCAGCCATAGCAGCCGAACATGCACGGAGGAGAAAGAGGCGGTCCCCGGATCTGGAACGTGAAAGACGACATTCGAAGAGTTCCTCCGAGGAAGTACGAAGAGCATTGCCACGCCAGAAACTTGAGCGCAGTGGCAGTCTCCTTGATCGGTGGACGAAGTCCCTCGAGGAAGCCAAGAGACAGCATGAAGAGAAGCTAAGGCAGGATGAAAAACGGAGAGAAGACAAAATCCGTGCTGCCGAGAAGGCAGAGAAGGAGAAGCGTTCCTTGGAGCGAGAGCGCTCCAAACGAAGCGAGCGTTCCTCAAGAGAGAAAGCTGCTGTGGGTACTGAACCGAGCCGACGGACCGGGGAGCACTCGAGTAGCCACGGAGGCGAACGTAGAAGTACCTCCTCGAGGGATGGCCAGGCATCGAGTTCGCGGCCGCGAGCCTTCTTGAAATATATGACAGCAGCCGAATCGGAAACGAACGGCCCCCTCCTCAAGATCAACGGTAACAAAGCTGCTGCAAATGTGTACGAGCGCCGATCTTCCACAAGCCATTCCCACAGTCACCGTCACTCGCACGAAGGGAGAGGGTCTATGGACCGTTCCACGGGATCCCATCATGCGGAAGAGGAAGAGAACGCTCGACGCGAGAGAAGGGCGCGACGAAGGGCCGCAGAAGAAGGAGAGCAGTCAAAGGAAAGAGAAACCGACCATCATCACCACCGGCATGGAGAAACGCGCCATCGCCATCACAGACACCGGAGAGATGAGCCTCCTCCAAAGGAAGAGTCGAAGCTCAAGAATCTTCTCAAAGCAGCGATTGCTGCTCATTAACCGACTTCTCACTCCGTCATTCACTTGTTTATGGTCTACCCACCTTGATTTCCACTTCCATACTACCATTTCAGGTTATTCTTAACGTGTTGTTTTCAAGTCATCCAGCATCACAGCGAATGTACTCTCGGTCGATTAGCATAAGCATATGTGGTGTTTTTTTTCTCCTTTTTACTTTACTACGTCTTTTCTGACTTGTATTCAATATTCCTTTCATGAAAGCATTTAGAGGGGGTTTGTACAGCAATTCTGAATCGTTGCTTCGATGGACTGCTCAGCGGGACTCAGGTTTCGGTACTTAATGTGAGCATTTGCACAATGAAAGACTACTCATCCACTTTTCCTTCCTTAGATTTTGAGCCAGAGCATGCAGATGCATCCCCGGCCACCTCTTTTTACACGTCTCCATCTGTATATCTCCTAAGCCAGCATTCTCAGAGATAACCCGCTTGTGCTCGAATCATTCAACGCCGAGACACATTCGCGTTGGCTTAGGGTTGTGCATGATCTGCAGTAACGCCACTCCCTCACAATCCTATTGCCATTGGTGTCTTAGCTATGGATACGTATCGATCGCTTGCCGGAAGCAGAAGACGTGGCGAGTCGACCGCCGCAAAGCCCCGTGGAGAAAGTGGGAATGGAATGATACCATCATCCAGAGTAATGCGACGTCTGGCGATAGGCGTGTCCATGTCCATGTCCAATACAAACCAAAAAGGCTAGCGAGTGCAGGGCTGTCGCACATCAGCCAACGCCAACAGATGAGTATCTAAAATGTGCGATGCGAAGTACTTACCCAGACAGCCGACCTTGTCCTCACAGCCATGATATCATGATAGGCCTTGGCAGAGTATTTATTGTCAGCGAGCACCGCGCGCGGCATTAAGAAAAAATGTCGCCATCTCACCTTCAGTCCGAACAAGACCGCAGGGATGAGGTATGATGTCAGCTCACCGACCAGGACCATATTCCTGTAGTAGTAGTACAGTACCAGTCAGTCCACGCGGGGTGTCTGCCTGGGAAAACAGCAAATCACCGTGTCCGCCCAGCGAGGAGTTGTTGGTTCTCAGGGTAGGCCGGCTACGATTGGGTGGTGGGATTTCTCTGCGTTGGTGATCGTCTTCTTGCGGGAAGCCTATAAAAAGCTTTCGGAAGGTCCATGTGGGATATACTTTGGAGATTGTGAGACGAAGCTAATGGGATGCAGAATCATGGTGGTCAATGCCGGTCCTCCTTCATCTGAGTAAAAAGTACTATACTATACTATCAAAGGGCTACAGCGGTGCTTTGAATAAGCGTTACTGATCGATTAGGCAATTGGTAAGAAAAGACACCTCAGGCAGTCCAGTCCTTCCATGATCGCCTCAAGGCTCATGCACACGTGTAGTTAGTGGTTACCTATTACCAGTTAGCCAACCGGAGAATAAAAGTAGGTACAAACCCAGTCTTTAGCTGGCAATGGCTTAGCTGGAGCCATTAATTTAGCCATCATTATGTGCTACGCTTTAATTTACTGTAGATGAGATATAACAGAATTACTAAAGTTAATCAGTCAGCTTGCACTGATGCTGATATTGACCACAGCGCGTTATGTCGTCCGCAGCCCATCAGGGAATTGAATCCTATCCAAACTCAAAGAGAAGAGTTAATTAAGGGCCTTTTTGGTGCTCTTTCATTCGATTCGGAATGACTTCGTGCGAGGTCTGACTTGCTGTGGACCAGACTATTTCTGTGTTTCAGGTGCTGTGAGTTGCAGACGTCTCCAACAGGGAGAATGAGGAAGAGAGTGTATGTTCCAGACCAATGGACACACCATTATCAAGATACAAGGTCAATGAATGTAGCAAGGATATCAGTGCTTGAGTTCGATCTACAACTGTGACACCGAGGATTGGGGTGTCGGCAGGAGCCCTTGAACGGCGGCCAGGCCCATCCTTCATATGGAAAATACTTCCACATCCAATTGCAAATGGAGTCATTCCCAGCAAGTTCGACAAGTAGCCTCTCTGGCCGGTAGAACTCAATCACTACTGCCATGCTGTGGTTGTTGTGTAGAAGGTTGCAAGGGACATACTCATCAAGCAGTCTTCGGAGCCCGCAAAGCTCCGAGCAAGGCCAGAAGTTTGTAGCAGATTATGGCCTGACTTCCCAACTATATATTGTATCAAGCTGCCAAGGCCTTAGCCACGCTTTGTGCATGTGCTTGGATACAATGGTGATTGGTATGGCGCTGATCGTGCACTGCCTAGTCAAGCGAGACGAATGGTGCTAGGCAGGATTGAGTAGTCACGACGACAGCAGACGGCCGAGCCACTTTACTCAGGCACTGGGAAGCTATTGGCATAAGCTATCACCAGGAGTTGTGGGGACTCCTTGTGACATGTTGTGCATGCATTCATCTCAAAGATTTCAACCATCATCACAGAAAGAGAATGCTGATTCGAATCAATTGCGTCAAGAATGGGGTGTGGGGGTGCGTATCAACTGCGAGTCTGCAATAGTGGTGAATCATGCAGAGGGTCCTGGATGGGCCGAATTGACTCGGAAGCCTTGACAAATAGAGGATCCCTCGCAGACTCCTACTCGATCAGGTATAAACCTGGCGATAAAAGGAGTCGACCTCAAGATCTCCAAAAACCCCAAATCATTTCCGAGTTCCGCACGTTCTTTGGAGTCGTCAAAGACGACTGGGCCACTATTCCACTATTAGTAGGAGCGCGGACGGTTCCTACCGTCCGGGCCATGGTGGACTCTATACCTACCTATTATCTAGATAGTAGATATGGACTAGAATGGCACTTGGTCCGCTCTGGTTTAGTGGTATGCTAGAGTGAAAATCCGTGCAGATTACAGAAGACTGTATCGGCCTTTGGATGAATCATGTACGGAGGAAGTCTGTTGGGTGAGGCATTGGCCGCAAGCCACATGAGTTTAGTGGTTATTGAATCCTCATGATGATGCTATGGGCCAATCCGCTCATCTTAATTTCACTTGCTGGCAGATTTCTCATTGATAGTGACACTTGTGATTGGTGAGATTGTCCTCATTTCAGGGGTCTTCACCTGGCTCAGGGTCCAGTCTTGGGCTATCGAGGACCCAAGAAGTCGCTTAGCCATGTCTCGAAGTGATGGTCTCGAACGACAATGAACGGCAAAATAGGCAATTGGTATCAGCCCGTTGGTCGGTTGAGTCGGTCGAATCGGAGTTGCACCTTGCACCAATTGGGAAACCCGAAGGTCTGCCGGATTTCTCCCCGCCGTGACTCCATCCGATCTCCACCCTGAGGCTTTTGTATTTCACCATCCAGCTTCAAGACTCAGGACTCAGGAGTGGATCCAATATTGTAATTTATTCAGCAAGACTGCACTAACCTCAGTGTAACAAACAAAGTTCCAAAATCACAGCCTGAGGCAATCAGGCAAGGCTGAATTTTCGTGGAGAACGGGTAACCCTATCCACAAGGCGCAGCAGTTGGTGATGATCCAACACCAACCTTTCTCATCCTTCACGTTTCAGATTTCAATGCTTCAATCGAGGTCTTTAAGATGACAGCAGATGTTCCTTGTGTTGTGTTTGAGATAGATGAAGATGACAGGAGACGGTCGCATGGCAGTGCAAGATCCCTACAAAACATGCACTTATCCACTGACATCGACCAAAGACTACGGATTATGGGATCGATAGTACTGCCATGATATCAAGGATTAGATATCCAGACGCTAATAAGCCTCATCGAAAATAGACCATGTCGGGTCCGAGTCCGAAACCCACCGGCTGGCTCGAGGCAGAGATTGGCATGTGTGATATGACAAATTGGCCGAATTGGTGACTATTCCAAATCTCCCAGTCCAATCTATCAATCTTTATCTCACCTCCAGAGCCAAAGAGCCAAGGCTAGAGCTTAGGACCAGAAGTGAAGACTTTCTCGACCGGTGCGAAATTGGCTCCGGCTGCGGGACCCTTGTCACGGATTGCATTTTCTACCGATTCTCCGACTTCGAATGTACCTAGCCGTTAGGTACAGGAGTCGAGGCTGTGGCTTGTTGAAAATGGGAGACTACACGACGGAGGGAGATTGAAGAGCAACGCTTACTGTATAGGTCAAGCTCATAATCACCAGTTACCCTCTGCTTCAATGATCGACATTGTGAACCTCGACCTTCTGGTTAGGGTACCGCGTCGTACCGAGTACTTCAAATTTCAGTTTATCGTACCATTCTTACCAGGTGAGCGGGCCTTGTGTACCAATTACCTGATGCGGCAAGGCGCTGTTGGTGGATTTCCCACCAACATAGCTATACCATAAAAGGCTAGTGGCTTCTCGGTTCCATATCCAGCGATTAGTTGGCACACCGCACATGACGCTGACAGAGGCCTCTTCCCCACAGAGAACCACGTTGTTGTCCATATCTGTCTGTCTCATTGTCTCATATTAATCTCGTTTGCTGCCGGACATGGTCATCAGTCACACACGTGCTACCAGCATAGTACTTGGGTTTCAAAATCTCGAGGTTCGCATCCATTCCATCCTTGCCTTGTGTAACAGTGGATCTGACTTGGTCTACCTATTTCGGGCACACTGACTGATTCGATGGGAAGAAGCACGCTGGTGTACTCTGTAGTATCAAACACATTGGAAGCATGTTGATCGATCGCTCGCCAGTTACCAGTTGCCACCACCAACAACACGGGTAGATAATCATCAATGGCGATCATGGACATACTGTTGTCTGTTGGTCTGAGTACTTTCATCAGTCACGACTCACACTCGCCTGTCTTATGCCTTCTTTCTCGTTGATCCACCGGCCCGCCTCGAAGGATTATGAACCTTGCATGCCAACCCCGCCACGTGATGGCACTGCCAAAACCAACACGCCAGAATTCAGAGTGGACTCGATAGACTGCAGCCTGGCTGGATGTTTGTGTGAGCGTCGACTGTTTCATCAATGCATGTCCTTGCACACCCTGAGCCACAAGTCGAATGTTTTGTAAAATGTGGA